AAAAATTGAATAAAAAACGTCATTTATTTTTTTTTTAAAAAGAATTTGATATTGGAATAGCTTAAAACTATTTTGTGAGGATATTATTTATAGATAATTAGGCTATGTTTTCTATATGGTAGACTATGAATTACTTAACTAAAAATAGTTGAACGAAAAAAGAATCGTGTGATTTGGAAGTAATTACGATTTTAATAATTAATGAAGATTTTCTACCATAATAATAAATAATTTTTCTATTTATTTGAATTGACAACATAAATCCAAATGAACTTTATCATATTTTGTCTAATCATGAAAAGCCACTAGGATTATTGTTATAAAAATAATTAAAAAATCTAAATGCAAAATGAAGTGCTAAATTTGAGTTGTTTATTTAAAAATATATATTGATTCTTCTAAATGCTCATACACTTGATGTTTTAACATCAACCACTTTAGGATATTTTTATGCTGCCAATCTTTATTTGTTTGTTAAAGAATGACAAAAGGTGAAAAAATTGTTATCGTTTAAAATATCATAAAAAAAACTAATTTAGAAGTCATTTTTCTTTTCAGAAAGAATTTGATAATACCAATTTGGTGAAGGAATTGTTTATATGAAGATTTGAAAGCAAGTCTTATTAGAGGTAACAATTAGACTATGATTTCTATATGGTTATCAATAAATTATATATATATGTAACTAAATAGTCTAAGAAAAAAAATATATTAAACAAAAGATGTGATTTGGAAATAATTTTTTATTTGATTGGATTTGATATTACCACATAAATTAATTAATGTCATCATATTTCTAACCATAAACAGACATTGGGACTACATGGACAAAATAAAAAGAAAATCTTCTTACCTTGAGTTTATGCCCAAATTTTGTTTTAAAATAATTAGCCTAAGCTAGCATTTGATCATAAATTTTCAAATATTCTTGGCAAATATTATTTGGGTGAAAACTTGAGTGAAATTTCATCATGTGTTTGGCCATGATATTTGGAAAATATATTTCACCTTTTTTTTAGAAAAAAATGATTTATACTCATAAGTTTTAAATACTATCAAAACTAACCATAAGTTTGTATTATAAGTCAATTGGATCTTTGTTACAACAATAACATATAGTGTTCATGACACTAGAGCAATGTGATAATTTGGAGTGACTGCAACAAACATCATTCCATATATCGTGAAGTAGACAAAACACATACATTTTTTATCCTTGGTCAATTGTTCATCATTTTCATCAACAACCATATCATTATTTAACATTCACTGAATACTTCATCACTACTTTGATATTAACGTAAAAAATCATGTAATATAACGCAAGCAACAACTATAGAGGGTGTTTTTGTAAAAGATAAAAATTTGAGGTAAAATTTCAATTTATAAAAGAATCCAAATAATGAGATTTGGGCCAAATACTAGAAAAAACTAATGTTTGAAAATTTGGGATATTTATCATTAATATTTATCAAATAATGACAAAGTATATGAACAAACACTATTTGCCAAGTTTTTCCACAAATTAAATATGACAAAGTATATGAACAAACACTATTTACCAAGTTTTTCCACAAATATTATTTGAGAAATCTATGACCAAACAGGCCTTAAAGAAAAATAAGTAAAAAATGATTGTGATGATCTTAATTTTTTTTAAGACACATCAAAAGATACTTGAACATCATTCAATATCTTCATAATTTATTCATTATCAATTTCATCCTTAATTACAAAAATCTTTTTTTTTTAATATCAAAACATTTATGGGTTATCCGGATACATTATTCTACCTATATCAGATACATTACAATTTATTTGTGTTCAAATGCATCTATTAAAAATATTATTGTTAATACATAATCTTGATTATTTCAAACCTAAAACAATATGAATAGAGTTGCCAATATGGACTATCTCACCCCATTCGGGCTAATCCATAAATGTTTTGATATTTTACGGGTCAGATTGAGCTAGCCCATTTTTTTTATGGGCCAGAAAATGATCGGCCCAACCCACAAGTATCTGGGCTATAAGTTTGCACACTTTTTTTTTAAAATTATTTTTTAATAATTATTAAATCAAATTATGAATTGCAATTTAAAAACATTATCTTAAATATCGACAAAACCATATCATATGATGATAATATTACTACTTGTTAATCAAATTCATCAATAAAATTATCTTTATAATACTTATTAAGTTTATTTTTCAAGTAGAATTATAAATATCTTAATAAAAATATTAACCTAATTGTTTTGAGCTTGGACTCTCTTTAATTTAAATTTTAATATTATATTATATTTTTTAATTAATTTTTATAAGTCCACGGGCCGGTCCTACTACATTTCTCTAGCCCCACAAATCCGCAGACTTATTCAAGCGGGGCTAAAAAACCCTTTTCTTAAATGGGCCCCAAAAAATCATAGCTCAAACTTATAAATTCCGGGTTAGACCAGGCCGTCCCAACAGGCCTAACCCATATTGACGACTCTAAGTATGAATCTGATTTATAGTTATGTATTTGATACATAACTTATGTATCGTTTACTTTGTATCGAGTGAATGAGTAGTGTATCCACGAATTCTGAAAAATCCAGAACTATTAACACCCAAATTGTTGGAGTTTATGTTCTTCATATTTTTTTTTTAATTTTGTGCTAGTTTTTACAAGAGAGTAGAGATTAGGAAAAATTGTATAAAATAGCAAACTATTAATTCAAATTAAATGCTATAAATATAATTTGATTTAATTGTACTTTATAGCAAACTATAGCTATTTTCACCACTCTCCTTGGTGGAATCTCGCTGGCCACTCTCGTTTGGTGGCAGTCTCACTCGCCTCTCTCGCTTTTTATACAAACACAAATATATAAAATGCGTTTGTGTTTGAATAAAGCGAAAGGAAATTACATAAATACATATATTTTCGTTCACCTCTCCCAAATATCGCCCTCCGCTCTCCCCAGTCTCTCTCGTCACCCTCGCCTCTCTCGCTTATATAAACAAAAATGAAATGTATAAATTGTATTTCTGTTTGTATAAACCGAGAGAAAATTATGTATACACATGCAAATATATATATTTTCATCCTATACACTTATAATTATACAATAAAAATATTCCCCTGCCCAGTTTCTTTTGTTTATCTCTCTTTCTTGTTTTATACAAATTCAAATTGTATATAATTTCTCTCTGTCTCGTTTTATACAATTCGATTCAATTGTATATTCCCTGCCAAGTCTCTTTTATCTTTCTCTCTTTCTCATTTTATATAAATTCAAATTGTATATTAATCTCCCTATACACTTGTAATTATACAATACAAATATTTCCTTGCCCAAGTCTCTTTTGCCTTTCTCTCTTTCTCGTTTTATATAAATTCAAATTGTATATAATTTCTCTTTTTTTTTATACAATTCGCTTCAATTGTATATGTATAGCGAATTATACATAATATATTTACTATAACGCGCAATTATATAAACTTTAATATAGCATACAAATATGAATTTTGTGTTTGTTATATGCAAAAGTTAGCCTGGAGATTATCTAATAGGGCTTATCTTAGAAGTCCTATATAGCACAAACATTTGGGATTTTATGAAAGCCCAATTAGTTGCCTCAATCCCTATCTTTGTATTAGTCAAATGAAATTTTAAATTCTTTATACAATCTAAAGAAATAATCATTAATTATAAAATTATGTTCACACTCAGTCAAACAAAAATTAAATCACATTTTGAATATGAAACAAAACTACAATCTCATTAATAAATAAAAACAAATCTAATTGTACCTCTTAATAAAAGCAACCAATTTATCAATTAAAAAAAAATCTATATTATACCTCAAAATTTCCTATAAATAATACCCTCAACCAATTAGTGTTAACCACTCCATTATCAAAAACATGACTTTCAAATTAACTTCCCTCCTTTTTATTACTCTATCGACTATAGCAATTGCTTCCACCTTCTGTCTTGCTACAAATGATGATCAAAGATTACTTATACAACCAAATATTTGGACAGAGTTGGATCCAAATGACCCTAGAGTGGTGGACATAGCGAAATACGCGGTGAAGGAGGCAACTAAGAGAGCTAAAGGTGTTAGAGTATTTAAGTATGTGAAAGTGAATCAAGCATCCGTTATGCATTTTGATGAATATGATAATACTTATGATCTTCTTGTTGAGGCCACAGAAATGAAATCTAGGGTCACTCAGGAATATATGGCATTTCCTGCAGAAACTTTGGATAAAATAACAAGAAAACCTATTAAGAGATATCTATTGAGCTTTAATCCAACTTCTTAAAATTATCCTAAGTGTATGGTTTAGAAATCTATAATCTTTAATAAACATTTTATTTTTGTGTTATCTTCTCTTTTACCTATGTGTGGTTGATTATTCTGAAATATATCCTTACGAGTTAACGAGATATAGATAAAATCTGTATATACTTTATCATTTTTCGGTTCTCATTTGTAGAATTGTACTGAATATGTTGATATTGTACACGTAAATCGTCTTAAAAGTGTACATATGGATGGATGGACACAAAAAAATCTTATTCTATTTTAATGATTTATTTCTTTAGATTATATAAATAACATATTGAGAAATATAATTGGGCCTATTTCATGGTGTTCTAAATGTTTGGGCTTATAAATTAAGAAGTATTTGAGGAAGAAAATGAGTTTAATTAATAATCATTGGTGTCTTGAGCTCGAATTGCAATAATTAAATATTTGAATTGCAAAACTTAAATACGAAATACATTTCATATTTCATAGCTTAGAACATAAATTGAAAAAAAAAGCCTATACAATAGATACAACTCAACAATAAAAAGTTAATAGGAAAAGAAGACCACCAATTGCAAAAATAGCACAACATCAAGATGACCGTGCAAATATTTTTACATTGTCGATGCATATAACTTTATCTGGCCTTTTATGTATCTCTCTATATTTCTATCTTTGACAAAATTAAACTAGCCACACATATGCAAATAGTTTGTTGATACATTAGTCACACGTTTATCCGTTTCAAACACCATAGGTCCTGAAATAAATTAAAAAAAGACGCATGGTCAATTTTCACATATAATTACTGAACTTTATATATTCACTATAATGATAATTTGTTTGCTAAAGTAACAACATATACATAATTATTGTTATCACTTTAAAATAACTTTAATGTTACTCTTTAGAATTATAAAGTCCAAATCCTTAGAAAACATGAGTCATTAGCTAGGGTTGACTATGTCCCTAACTTTTATACTTCATTAAAATATATCAAAAGGGGAAAAACTAGTAAATGTGGATATTTAATGCTCCTTATATTTTATTTTTTGTGACATATATCATTTAATTCGATAAATAATTTTAAGAAGAAAAGAAAAGAAAAGATATTTGAAACATTTTTATGTGATTATAAAAGCTAAAAGAATCGAAATGAAAACTAAGAAATTTAAAAGAATCTTTACCAAGGGTAGGCATCAAGAAGGATAGAGCAACAATCCCAGCAATTTTCAATGGAAGTCCAGTTTTAATCATGTCCTTGATCTCAATATGTCCAGTAGTAAACCCTACAACATTCGAGGGCGTAGAGGTGGGAAGCAAGAAAGCAAACTGTGAACCAATAGCCCCCGGGATCATGAGTAGGAGGGGATGGATGTGCATAGTCTTCGCGATCTCAATGAGCAATGGGACCATAATGGTTGTGGTTGCATTATTAGATGTGATGAACTCGGTTAGGGTCCCACTTATTAAACATACAGCTGGCGCGATGGCTAAGTAGGGCGCATTTTCCAAGAAATTTAGGGCTCTTGAGAGTACATCAGCTAGACCACTTGACCTAAATCCATCAGCTATTGCAAAACCTGCCCCTAAAAGAAGAATTATATTCCATGGTAATTTTTTGCATTTGTTCCAATCCATTAATTTCTCCCCTGGTTGCTTTTTATTTGGAATTATGAATAATAAGGTTGCCATCATCACCTGAAAAATTAAAAAAATTAAGATCAAACTTTATCAACGACTTTTTTACCTGACATGTTTAAGATTATAAGATTAAACGACGTACATCCTAGTACATTCTATGTGTCTTTTAGTTTACGACCACATAATTCAAAAAGATTTTTTACTTTTTTAAACTTTATATCAAATCAAATTAGACAAATAAAAGAAGTAATAAGTAATGAATGATATGACTTATACCAACCGGTAATATAATAAAATTTACTCTTTAGATTTTTACTTTTTCTTTTTTACGATTTGATTAAATTTGAATTCACAGTCATACTTACACTAACAGTTCCATCACCAGCACGTCCACCAAAGAGGGATCCCCATCCAGGAATATCTTCAGTAATACTTCTTGTCATCCACAGCATTATTAAAATCTGTAACAATTAATAAATAAAATTAATTTAATCAAATAAGTAATCATAAGTCACAATAATAATATAATAAAGAGCAATTCGAAGCACAAGAGTGACACTCTAAAAAGTGTAAACTGTTCCAATATAAATATTAAATAATTATTTTTATTATTCAAAACAATTTTATCGTTAATTCAAAACCCTAATCGAAAACTCACCGAAAATACCGTCAAGATCATCTTTTCAGCAAAAGTCATGGGACCTACACATCACAAAAGTGGGACCAAAATCATTAGAAGTTGTATAAAATAATTGCAGAAAAAAGACTAATAATTTAATTTTCAACAAACAAGTGTAATGAAAATGTGTGGTCAGTAGAGAATAATATTAGTAGCCACAAAAATTCAATTATTTGGAACACTTGTTGATTTGCAATTTCTTGAGGGTATCAAATATCTTCAATCTCTATCACGGATATTAAGAAAAAATAAACGAAACTCTAAAAAGAACAAAGAGAAATATAACTTTCAATATGATAAGTAAAATAAAACCGTATCAAAGTCCTAACATTTAAATAAAAAACAGTCTCAAAATTGACCCCAAAAAAAAAAAAGAGGATATAAGTTAAAAAGGATAATGGAGAAAGACATCTAACCATCAATTCTATTTTTGTAACAAAACAAAGTGATTGCGTAACGAATAACTTGTCTTATTTTTACTTTATTTCATTAATTCCACTTCTATGAACAATTATTTAATACATACTTTAACCACCTTTTGAAAGTCTTATAATCACACAAGTAGTATAACATCAAACATCTTTAAAATCATAGATCCCAAAATTACTCCTTTTTTGAACGTTATGCAGAGACGTCAAGTCACATCACATATATGGATCAGGGTTACATTCGTAACTAATCTAATAATAAAAAAGTACTTTTTAAATATCCGTACTATTCGAAAATAAATTTAATACGATCCATTAGAAATCAATCCGTGCTGGTTAAATAAATTTACGACTTAGAAGATAATTAATTTTTGACAAATTGTTTATTGAAAATTCAGAGAAGTTTTTATACTCTAGATAATGAGCGAAGAAAGTGATACCTAACAAATCAAGCTCCCTCTTCAAATGAGTTTTGTCCAAATAAGTAGAAAGTGCTCTACTCGATCCCTTCCTACAATAAAATAGGCAAAGAATGCCCCACAATGCCAAAAATATAGCCAAAGCCAAAGGGAAAGCAAATGATGACCATGTGCTAAAACTTATAACATTTTCATGAGGAAAATAACTCTTCCACATTCCAATCAATATCAAGTTGACACCTGTCCCTGTCAACGTACTCATTCCACCAATCGACGCAGAGTAGATCACCCCTAAAACAACTGCTTTGCAAAAATTGGTGACCAAATCGTCGTTAGAATTGTTATTTTCTTGATCTCGGTGGCCACTATTGATGCGCGACGGCAGTCGCTGCAGAATTCCAGTGGCCACTGGCATCATCATCACCGTGGCGGCACAGTTGTGCAGCCACATGCTGACAAAAAACGTCGTGCCACAGATACCGAGGAGGAGGAGTGGTGGGTTCAGTGGGTCCCCACAGAATAATAGTGTTATCTGCATAATTGATCATATGGCCCATTGCTCGTTAAATTTTGTCTTAAAACAATAATTCAACTAATTACTAAGAAAAAAATATAAAATATATATTGTGGACAGGTAAGAGAAGCAAATTATTGCGGACACGTAAGATATATATCTCTATCATAAAAGTTTTAAACTTCATAAGTAAAATTTTAAAATAATAATAAAAAGAATTACTTTTTACTTTTCGTTTTTCGATAGTCAAATAAATTAATTTTGACCGAATGTTTGCGTATGTCATCTTCAAATTTTTTAAAATAAAATTTATATAGTTTTAAACTACGTAAAGAGTACCGTAAGTTACAATAATTGATAATTCAAAATGTTAAAAAAATATATGAAAAACTTACGGGTCAAAGATTAACTTGTTTGATTCTCTAAATACGAAAGTGCTACATAAAATGAGACGAAGGGAGTACAAAAGTTTCATCCCTAGCTACTATACCCCCCATCCCACAAACCACTCCCGTCAAAAGAATTAACAACATTTTTTACTTAGAATATAAATGGATCGATCAATATTCAACCACTTGAACGAACCTTATTTATCATAAAGTTTGTGAAACTCTACAATAATTATTTTTCAAAAACAAAGTTGTAGTTCTCCTTATATCTGAATACTGACATACAACGATGTATATAACTTAAACTCTCCGTAATATTGTTATTTTCGAGTAAACGGATCATAAAATAGCGAAAAAATAAGAAGAAGAAATTGGAATTACTCACGTTCAAGGCCAATCTTCTATGGATATTATAATGTTCCACAGCAAGTGCAAGTATAAAGCTTCCAAGTACAAGTGCAATAACATCATCCATGTATGACTGAGCAACCTCGTCGGACGACGAAATTCCGAACAACGGGAAGAGGAACAACGGTGACATGGAAGTTACCGGCATCGGCACCGCCTCCGATAACCACCATGTAAAGATCCATGCAAGAACTCCCAACATATTTGTGCTTGTTGATGGAGCATTTTCCATTTTGATAAATAAGCATATAAATATACATAGTGAAGGTCCTAAAATTGTGAATAAATTTTTTAATGTGAAAACTGATTGAATAAATGAATTCATACTTTGTGACCTATGAATTGGAAGGAGTGGTGTTTTTTGGTCATTATTATTTGTCTCATGATGATCTCCATTCATTTTGGAAAAAAAAATAGAAAACTTGGAGAGAGAAGAAATAAATATTGTTTTGAGATGAAAATGTTAGTGGAGTAGTACTATGTATATATAGAGGCAAATGTTTTGTCATGTTGGAACCAAAAAAAAAAGTATGGTTGTTATGGTAATGTGTTACGTGGAATTGACAGAAATGTACGTGTGAATTCTGATTTAAACGTTATAATTTATAGTTAAAAAGGACTAATTTTCTTTTTGAAATAAAAGAATATAAATTAAGGCAAGTTGAATTCTTAAAAAAGGAAATCTAAGAACCATACTTGTACAACTAACTAAATTATGATATATATTTTTCATGATTTTTCTCTTAATATTCATCTTTCCTAATTTGGTGTGTATATCCTCAAAGGTGTGGGGAGTAATTTCTGGTGATTTAAAACCATCATTATCAAATGGTTCAATTAAATTTCTCCTGATTTGTGCTTCGCGTTTTCGAATCAAAGTTACATACATGATATGTAATAGAAAAATAAAAAGAAAGGACGGAGAATTTTAATGAGAAAGTGAAGTAAATGCAATAAAGAGATAAAATAGATATAACAATTTGAGAGATCGAGAGACATAGAGTTAGAATTTAATACGTGTAATATAAAAGAATAATTGAAAAATGACATTTGATTAATTTTAAGAAAGATAAAAAGAATTGAAGAAAAAGCAAATAATGGCTTATAGAATAGAAAGACTACTGGAAGTCGTTACAGAAAAAAATATTTAATATATATTTAAAAAAAACTAAAAATTTTATATCGATATCTATTTGTGATCTTCGGTGCAAATATTTTTAATATTGATTGCACAACTTAAATCTGTGACTTATATATAATATATGTTTGTTTTTACTATTGTCACATATAAGACTCATTCTAGTGAAGCAATATAATTCATTTTGTAGAATTGGCGATCCAACAAATTATTTGATCGATGAGATAAAAGATAATAATTTTGAAATAGAAAATTATTAAGTTTTTATCGACACGTAGTTAAGTTACAGTTGACACGTAAGCTAACTGTTCTATTTGTCAATTTAGGAACTTTCCTTTTTTAACTTTTTCTATTATACTCTCCATCAAGCAATTTCATATTCTTAGTACATAATTCATATACAATAATACATATAAAAAATATTGTGGGGTAGATCTTGGGACCCACAAAAGAACATGGTAGGATATAATTGTGCCACGTCATAGGTGAACACATGAGTTAACAATAAGAAGATTATAATATGAAAATAGAGTCGTAAACATTCAAATAATCATTCAATTGGATTGTAAAGATTCTCGATTACACTTAAATTATTGTCAATTTCTCAAAATTAAATGTTAATAATAAGTTATATCTATTTTTATATTATTGTGCAATAAAATGATATCTGAAAATAAATGATAAATAATTCGTAAAAATTATGCAATATTATAGTAAAAGAAAAGGTTGAAGGTCCATCATGGGAGAGATAGGTTCGGGTTCAAAATTATACTGTATATATAAATTTAATTATTTTCTAAAATATATATAATTTATATTAGATTTAATTTTCTTGATAAATTTTTTATCTATTTGACTCATTAGTCGATAATGGACTCAAGCTAATATATATATTTTTTTGATAAGAAACACTTTTTTCTATCATTAATATTATTTGGCGTGAATCTGAATTAATTTAATAAGTCGCAAACGTATTCAAAAACTCTTTAATTGGTGAACAACTATTAATTAAAAGCATGATTAAGGTTAAGTAATTTGATTCATAGAATATTTTACAAGTGGCCACTTCTCATACATAAAATGAATATATATCCACAAACCAAAGGCCAAGTTGAAAGTCATTTTCAAAATTAATATTATTAATAAAGAAAATTGGAATATTCAACTGTAAAACCAATAATATAGTTTCAAGTCTAGGCAAAAGATAGATGTTAGCAATTAACAAGTAATTGATAGTCATCTTAAATATTAGTTTAATAATAATAAATCCATTTGATTATGATGAAAATCTTATTATCCATCCGACTCATCATAGTTATCATAGTAAGTTTGAAACTATATTTATTTAATAGTTATGGTCTTGTTTGTTTTTGGTATTCATTTTTTTCTATTATTTCATTTTTTTTTTCATATTTATTGATATTTTGCTTGAATTAAGAACATGTGCATATTCCATCATTCCTTTACTACGTATATTGTTGTTATATTATTTTAATTACAAAACTCACATATATGGCTGAATAGACCAATTAAATATTTTTCAAATAAAAATAACAAAATATTTCTTTTGCTAGATTCAAATTTTAGTGTTGTGAGTCGTATCTTTAGCTTGTATTAATATCATAAGATGTTTTTATGCTCTTAATGAGTTCACTGTTAATTATATTCTAGTTTCAATCAGTTTTTCAAAATAGATATACATGTATAAATATAATTTTTTTAAATTAGTGGATATACGTGCATCCCCGACTTTACATATATTGGTCCGCTTCTGCTCGTGACATTTTCTGGAAAACTCTTTATTTATCTCTCACTTCGATGTATGATCATATCTATAAGGTGCCATATGCTTCTTTTCAAAAGATAAACTTATTAACCTAGAACTATTAACCGTTCTTTTTTACTCCCTTTAATTCATCGCACCGCTTTCTGTCATGGATGATTCAATTATTAATGAAAAAAAAATATTCATTCAACTTCAACCGAAAATATAATAATAGTAACTTATTTTAAGAGGATTTTTTGTAAATATAACACAAATTATTTTTTGAACATATATTTTTCAATAAAAAATCATTTTCTAAAATAATCTGAAACTAATTATTGTAAAGATACTTTTTCTAATCGAGGATGCCATAAGTTTGAATATATATCAATTTAGTTTGGTGCAATGATAATTACTTTGATATTATATTTTCATGAAAATGACATCGTTATTTCTTGATTTGTGAAGATGGACCATCAAGTAATTCAAACCATGCATTATATAATATTGTGGGGTCTATTTGCATTTTAGAGAAAATTTATAGACCAATTAATAAGACTTCCAAATAGAACTAAGGGTGTTTATGGTCCAATGTGAATTGTTTTTTTCTCTAAAATATAATCGAAACAAATTATTTGATTTTTTAAATATCATAATCGATTATTCAGGTAACTTTTAGATAAATATTTATATAGTCAATTTGATTATGTTGTTTCGATTGTTTTATGCTTGATACCAAAATCAAGTCAAATTTTATTTATATATTAAAATTAAAAATCAAAATCAAACAAATCAAATTTATTAAGTTTTTTTCCTTCGATATTATTCTCTATTTGATTGAATTTAATTTATTTTTTTTCCAATTCACAATACCTCAAACGTATATAAAACAAAAATTTCCAATCTAATCCATTGAGGCACCATTAAGGTCAAATATATAGGTCCTCTATTTTTCTTAATTGACCTTATCTTAAATATGACCACAAATATAACTTCACATAACTCATAACCACATGAATGTTGTGGACAAAGGGTCAATTATGAATATTTCCATTTTCCTTTTCCCCCCTTCCTTTCGATATCATGTAATTTGCCTTCAAAATGACCTTTCAAGCCACCCTCGAGCTATCTACTCTAACCTGTCTTTGCTTAACAATATTGCACTAATTAACAACGATAAATTCCAAAAATTTTATATGGTAAGTGGTTCAAATTTTTATCATTTTAGATTGGATATATGCTTAGTAATTACCTTTGTATGGTATTACTAGTTTCAACACAAAAATACAATGTTAAAATAAAATACAAAAAAGAGGCACAAATGTGACCTAGTATGTGAAGCAAGTCAAACTTTAATTTCATAAATTTATGAATGTGTTTGATATGGAAGAAAATATCTATTTCATATTCGGTTGGTCTATTAATTTGGAAAATATTTTCTTCGAATAAACTAAAAAGTTATTTTGTGGGAGGTATAAGGTGTAATAATTTTGAAATAAAATGTAAGATTATTTTTTATTTTGCATTTGATTGGACGTAGACGTAGTCCTTAAATTATTTATCTCACAGTTTATACCATTGTGATGGTGGGATACCTTTTATATATATATATATATATATATATATATATATATATATATATATATATATTGAGATCACTTTTTCATGAATAACTTATCCCGAGATAAATTGTTTTCAACCGAACAATTAAGTTCCTTAAAATTGAGGAAAATTACTTTTATCATGAAAGTTGGAAAAACACTTGATTTTTACTCCACTTAGTAAGCCCCCATTACCACCACCCTGCATGTTGTTCTGATTTCGAAATTAGAATACTTTCTCCTTTTTATATCCAAATGAGAGCGGATCCTACCGGCCCTACTTCCACCTTCAGTAGCATTTATTTAGATTATATATAAATCCTTTTAGGATATCAATTTTTGCATACATACAGAACATAAGAATCAATAATTAATAAGTAAGAAATCTACTTGTTTTCCTTCGTATGAAACGCACTTCTACGTCAATTTGATGCAGCTTCGCTCTTAAAAAATTCAAATTTTAACCCAGCCCATTAAAGTATGGTTAATGGCCCACTTCAACCAAAATAAAACAACAAAAGAAAATTTTGCATAAAAAAGGATTTTTTTTGGGAACTTTCGCGAATAGCCACTAAAAAATAGCCTAATTACTCTCCGTAGCTATAGTTTGATAATTACAATTCGTAGCTACATGTTATAGTGAGGAGAGAGGCGAGCGAGACTAGGAAAGAGGCAAGAGAGAACAAAAAGTGGGAGAGAGGTGAATTGTATATGTATATTGGTTAGATAATTTATTATACATATGTATTTGTATATATTGCAAGCTAGATTGGGAGAGAGAGGAGAGAGGCGAGGGAGATTGGGAGAGGGAGGAGAGAGGCGAGCGAGAGAGGGCAGAGAGTGAGAGATATGTGAATTGTGTATACGTATATTGATTAGATAATTGTATATTATAC